TATTAATTTATTACAAGAAATATTAATTTGTTCATAAAATATTTTTTTTGTACATATGTATTTACAATATATGCGTAGTTATAAAATAACTACTTTGCATATACGTAAAGATGTACAAAAATTCACAATTCCCAGGGACGTCTGTTAACCTTGTTCCTTATTGTTTTCTGCTACAACAGGCCAAAAAGGATTTTCATACAAAATTTTGAGTAAATACACGATGTAACACAATGTATCATTACATTCTTGTTATTCGATAAAAAATAACATGATCATTGTTTTGCACTGTGTCACTTGTAGGAAGACACACAACGCTTTATTGCAATACAAAGTATAAAAATCAGAGTTAGAATTATTATATTGAAAAGATAACGAGCATTCCATCTGATGAATTTATTTTCATTGTAAAATTCATATTCTCTCTCTCTCTCTCTCTCTCTCTCTCTCTCTCTCTCTCTCTTCTATTTATTTTACTACTAAAACACTAAGAGCTTTAAATTTGGAATTACTCTGACGAAGCATTTTTACTGTTTGGTCTATTTGAATATAATCTTTTCATAAAATCTATTATTAAATTGAATTTTCTTATAATTAATTTATTTTTTATATGTATACATAGATATACTTTAAATCATTCAATTTTAACTAAGGTACATCAATCATTTGACTTTATATAACGTAATTAACAATGTCATAGATGCCATAAAGATATGGGATTAGAGTAGGTATACAGAGAGTAGTATACAGAGAGTAGCACCAATTAGCCGGAAGTCATCATTTGGTGTGTTACATCTAGGGTATCTATATAACGCAATTCCTCTTTCCGTCTTAATTTCTTTTTTCTTTAACGTTGTCTTCTTTCTAACAGTAAGAACACCTAATGACGGAACCAATAAGCATTAGAAACACGATTGACGCTCTCTTTATATCTACTATCTATATATATACTGTACTAAATAAAGCAGTACGAATATATGATGTATCTAAATCAACGCTTAAATTTAGAAAAAATAAACCGCTGAATATCAAAATAACAATGAATTCTTGTCCTATATTTGAAAAAGATTTTCTGAATTTTTATCTTCATTTTTATGCTTTTCATACTAATGGTCAATTACTGTCATTTTTCTATTCAATAACTGTAAAACTTATGAGAAAAGTGTAAAACTTATGTAAAAAAGTTATTAACAAAAAAAATTTTTTAAATAATGTTTTATTTCTACTATACAGTATTAAATAGTATATACAGTATTAAATAGTATTCTTACATGGTACTTTCCCCTGTTTCTACGCAAAGCGATTCTCATCCCATCTCCTCTCCTGCTCGGGGGCGCACGACTTTCACGCGAAGCATTTCCTTTTTTTGTTTTTAAAGTAAACTTGTTTGTAAAGCAGTGAATTTATTTGTAAAGTAGTGAATTTGTGTTTTTAAAACAGTGAATTAGTGTTCACTACTTTAAAAACAAAAAAATTATAAAATAATTTATTTTTGAAGTGGTGAATTTGTTCGTAAAGTAATGAAATAAAATGTTATTTCTAAAACTTTTTTTGTTAATAACTTTTTAACGAAAAGTAACCGCCAAATAAAATCTGTCGGAGATTACTGATAATACATCACCAAAATCTGGACAAATTTCAATTTAAATTTTGCGCTATATTGTGCCTTCGCCAGAGGTTATTGTTGGCGTCCGAGAAAGCCTGATGCTTCTAATAAACAGTCATATTTTCAAAATAATCGCGATGTTGAAACCAAGTGCGGATAATCGAAGAGCCGCGATCATCGAAGGCCTTCGCGCTGGATGTTCAGCAACGGAAATAATTCGGTTCTTTGAATTTCTCGAGATCAATCGTTTATGACATTGTGGTAAAATATATAGCTTTAGAACAATCCAACGAAGGTTTCAATTTGCCAGCGAGGAAGAATTACTACTCGAAAAAACGCACCACGAGGATCCTCGCAGTCGTTGAAAGGCCTCAAGCACTGATTTCGGATGACCCAGGGCAATCATTGCGCGTTTTGATGGATATAGTGAAGCCGTGGATGAAAACTGGCGTCCGGAAGGCCACATGTTTTTCAGCAGAACGGCACCGGCTCATACGAGTCATTTGATTCAAAATTGGCTCTCTCAGACAACGTCGATATGTGTTGGTCCAAGGAATTCTGGCCTCCCGATAGCCCAGATTTAAATCCTTTGGACTACTACGTAGGGAGTGTAGTTGAAAGGATCACAAACAAGTCTCGGCATCTCAATATGATGTTATTGGACTATTGAGGTAGCATTCGTTGGCATGGACAACGTCGGCAACAGCATTACATTACAGCATGTATGCGAACATTTCAGATCGAGAATAGAGATCGTCATTCAAGCAAATGGAGGATATATAGAATAATTATGCTCTATATCCTTCAAAAGTGCCATGTAAAAAGATTTTTTGTAATATTTAATTTTTTATTAAAAACATTTTGTTTAAAGATATTATTCGATTTATCCGGATTTTTGATGATTTTGATGATTGATCCGGATTTTGACATACCCTGTATATATCAAGGTCAAGAACATCGGAACTTCCGTTATTTTTCAAATCCAAATTTTGCAGCAAAAATGTGATCGAGAAACAATACATTTGATATGATATCTCCTGACTACTTTTTATAATTTGGGTATAAATAGAAAAATATTTAATATATCGGTTTCTCAGAAATCTCTATCTGTTTCATTTAAGAAGCTACTGTTGCATTTTTTGAAGATAATAATAGTATATTAATAATAGTATAGATAATAATATAATAATGATTATTTAT